CCTCCCCCTCCTCCCCCAGCCCTCCCCTTCCCGAGTCAGGCTGGCCAGAGCATGGGGAGCTCAGTGGCGTGGAATGGCCTCGTTAGTGAAGGGCAGGAGGAGCAGTAAGGTGGCCCCAGGGCGGCCTTCCAGCTCTGTCATTCATGGTTCTAGACAGTTTCCTCCTGGAGTCCTCAGCCCCAGAGGCAGAAGCTATCTCCTCTTTGCTGAAGGTTTCTGGCCCTTCTGTTATTCCAAGCAGGTTGCACCACAGGTGACATCATGGGAATTCTAGTTTATCTGAGTGGCCCCTGCATCCAGTAGTGAAAATGAACTTCAGCTTCCACAAGAGACAACACTGGCTTCTAATGCTGACCTTGACACGTCAACCTGTGAGGCTTGGCCCATTTCCTCCATATCTCCCCACCTCTGAAATGAGTCCTTACAAGAATTAGAAAAGTTTATGGGTCCTAGTAGGTGTCTGACAAGTGGTTGTCCTTCTCTTCTTTCCATCGTAGTCGCAAAGCCTACAAATGGGAATCGAGGAAGGGAACTTTGGGCATTAATTCAATAGTAAGACACTTAAAAATAGTCTCGACCAAATGTCTGGTAATTCACTTAAGAGCTCCACTGCAGTGGTGGGGGTGAGCTGGGTGCTATGCGGACAGCGGATTCACCGAAATGCTGAGAGTCTTCCCTTCCTTCTTCCCTGCTGTCTGAGTTTCTAGTGAGGCCAACCTCCCTTAAGGTCTGCAAGAAACTCCGAGGATCAGACTGAAAATCTTTCAGAAACTCATAGCCTCATCTCTTCCCCATAGGTCACCCAGATGTGGAACAGCCCTGTAAGTCCAGCGTCCGCACCTGGAGCCCGAATTCAGCTGTCAACCCACACACGGTCCCTCCGGCCTGCCCTGAGCCCCAAGGCTGCTACCTTGAACTGGAATTCCGCTACCCTCTGGTCCCTGAGTCTCTGACGATCTGGGTCACCTTTGTCTCCTCTGACTGGGACTCCAGTGGGGCTGTCAACGACATCAAACTATTGACTACCACGGGGAAGAACATCTCCCTGGGCCCTCAGAACGTCTTCTGCGATGTTCCACTGACCATCAAACTCCGGGGCGTGGGCGAGGAGGTGTATGGCATTCAGGTCTACACGTTGGATGAGCACCTGGAGATCGATGCTGCCATGCTGACGTCCGTGGCAGACAGCCCCCTCTGCCTAGAGTGTAAGCCCCTGCAGTACAAGGTGGTCCGGGACCCTCCCCTCCAGGCGGACGTGGCCTCCACCCTGCATCTCCATAGAAGATTCACAGACATGTAAGTGTGCTTTCCTGATAAGGAGAGAACCGAGTGGGTGCGCTGTGGAGGGACGAAAGGAGAGTCAGGCTCCCCTCTAGGGCTTTATAACGTGGCATCGTGTGTAGAGTTGTCTTAACAAGGCCGAGTTGATATGGTGGGAAATACAATGGACAAGGAACCTGGCGGCTTGGATTTGGGTGATAGCTCTGCTGTGTGACTGAGCACCACCACCTTTCTGACACACAGTTTTCGCGACAGTTGGCTGAGGATCAGCAGTGAAGAAGTCATTGATTACTAACGAAACTAGAACAAGCAGAGTTTGCTAGCGGTTTCTTTTTTATGTTAAATTGGAGAAGATTCATGCATCCTGATTGCTCCTCCGTGGGTGAGGAGAAGGCGAAGTTATAGCAGGTTGGCTGGGAGTTGACCACGTTCCTGGGTGTTTGCATGAGAATTTCTCTGGGAGGGGAACATCGCCAATTATGGTCCTTGGTTTATTTTTATTTTGGAAATGGAGCATGTGTTCAAACCTGTTGGATCCTCACGGGCCCCTGCGGATCTAGGTCTTCGTGATTCTTTTGGATAGCCAGTGCCTTTATAGGATGCAGTGTTTCTCCTCATATATATTTCTCAAACCACCCTTCCAGTACACCCTCCTCAATCATCCTCAGGATTTATATTTTATGAGAGAGGCCACATCCTGAGGAAGCCATCAGTGCTTTGCCCATATGCCCGACAGTGGGCTACGGTCTTTACATCGTTTACTTACTGCATCCTCTCTGCATCCACAGGCCTATTATCTTTCTCATTTTATAAACAAGAAAACGCAGCTTAGAGATGCGGAGTCACGTGCCCAAGATCACACAGTTGGGAAGCGGTGAGATCAGGATCGGGATTCCACCTTGACACCTAAGCCAAGGCACTTAACCAGTGTTCAGTTAACGATGCGACTCCGGCTTCTGCTTTAACCTAACATGTGAGGGAGCCTTGGCCATTTAATTTGGGTACCAAGACTCTGAAGTCCATCACCACACATTTGTGGATCATTTATCACGTGCCATGGATATTGGTAGGGAATGCTTTGAACCTTGGAAGGAACAGTAGCTCAGGAGTCAGAGGCCCCCTGTTTCCTTCCAGCCAGTCCACTTACTAATGTTAGATAAATCAGCCAATCTCCTTGAGCCTCAATTTCCTCTCTGTGTGATGAAAATGTTGAAGCCCATGGTTTCTATGGGCCTTTTGTAGCTCTTTCTTTGATTCTAAGATGATATAAGACGCAATCTGTGCCCTGTCTACTTGAAAATATTTACTAAGCCAATCATTAATAGAAACCAAGTTCTGGAGGAAACTTTTAATCTTTTTAAGAGACAGGACCACTTTCAAACACTTTCCCAGCACTTCCTTTTACATGCCAGCAATTAACGTGCTCATCACAAGCAGATCTGGCCCATTCATTGCCTCGGAGATGAAGAACATCTGTTTAAGAACTCAGAGGGAGCACTTGGTTTGTGGACTTGAAACTTAAAGAATTGTCCTGCCTTCAAAATATTCCATAACCCTGTCTCTTCCATCTGCTAACTTGTCTAGGGTAGTAAAGTTCCATAAATATGCATCCACTTAAAATTTCTTTATAAAACCATGGAGGTAATAAAGAGTAGATGTCTTAAAAACCTCAGTTTAAACACAGCTTTTTTTTTTTTTAACTCAAGTTATAAGCCTGTGAGAGCTGACACTGGTTGATAAGTAGAGAATGGTGGAAATTAAATTGAAGAGCAAAAGTACTCTTTTCAGCCAAGTCCCAATCTTGCTGTGTGATCTTAGGCTCATCACCTACCCTTTCTGATCTCCAGAGGCCTCCTCTACAAGACGGAGGTCGCACTCGCTTCGTGGTTCTCAAACTCTGTTGCACAACGTGAAAACTGGGGACATTTCTAAGTTGCCTGCTCCTCACTTGCATACCCTCTCAACCCTTCCCTCCCCTCCCAGGTATTGATTTAACTGGTAAGGATAAGGCCTGACCATCGGACTCTTAAAATCTCACCAGGTAATTATAATGTGCAGCCAAGTTTAAGAACCACAGTGCTGAAAAATCAGGTTCTCAAAGTGTGGCCCCCGACCAGCGGCATCAACATCAAGTGGGTGCATAGAAAGGCCAGGTCCTGGGGCTCCAGCCCAGATGACTGAAGCAGAAACTCTGAGTCCCTGGCTTTTTCAGGTGACTCCGATTCTGGTTAAAGTTTGATACCAGTGCTCTAAATGATCTCTAAGGCCCAGGAATCTGCAAGGTCTCTTTCACTCATACAGCTACTCATTGGGTTTACAGCTATGCATTGAGAACATTCTTTGTGCCAGAGTCTGTCCTGGGAGCTGGAGATTGGAGGGATGACTCAGACCCGGCCCCTTCCCTATAAACACTCACACGTTAGTGCTAAAGACCTTAATTACTGACTAAAATGCCTAGTCCTGTGCCCATGTGCTTCTAGAACCACCACTCTCCAGGTCCACGCTCTTGTGCACTATTTGTTCTTTCATTCGCTCCGTCAATATTTCTTTAGTCCCTGCTCTGTGGCAAGCACAGGGGCTAACCTGCGGCATTGGCTGGCCTTTCTCTTTGCTTTCTTGAGCCCCATGGAATTTGTTAGAGACCCAGGCTGGGCTGCCTGATCTGAATGTTCTCAGAGACTCTGAACTAAGTAAAACATCATTCCAAGTCATCCTACCACTTCAACGCCTTTATCTCTTAGTAATTCAAGTTCCGAACTCCAACACAAATACCTCTGTGTGTCTCCATGTGTGTGTATTTGGCTGCTTTCACATTTTTTCCATATCAAATAAATTGGCTCATATACAAGTTCTATATAAAGACTGTTTTGGAGAAAAAGAGGAGAGAGAAAAAAAATGCTTTTTTTTTTCCTTCCCTAACTCAACCCATTACATGATCCCCTTTGACCTTTGTCTTCATTTTTTTCTCTCAGCAAAAATATTTATTCTTTCCTTTATCTGCCCTGAGATAGTTTCCCAAGGTATGACATTGATGAAGGGAAGGGCTTCTGTGCTCGCCCCATAGACTCTTGCAGTAGACTGATGACTTTTGGCCGGGACAGGGGAGAAATTCGGAACGTCTCCCTTAAGTGGAAACCCCTTCGTTGAATGAGAAGTGACACTAGCAGAGGGAAAGGGGGACCGGTGCCAACTCTGCTACTAATTCACATGTGACATTAGACACATTGCGTCACTTATTTAGACTTCAATTTCCCTGTGTGTAAAATGAGGGGAAAACATGTTACGAAATTCTATGTGGATCGATGTTGTTCTTAGGTGACAGGTGATTCATTCTCTCTCTCTCTCTCTCTCTCTCTCTCTCTCTCTCTCTCTCTCTCTCATCCCTGGTTCTGGATGCCCCAGTGAAATGTGTAGTGTGTGGACAATAACCATGATAATAATAACTACTACTTACTGAACACTGTTTTAAGTGCCTTACAAATATTGATGAGGCAGGGGAAGCTCAGAGAAAAGGCTAGAGCTCAGAAAATGCACTCGTCCCACCTACCATAGCTGGGGATGGCTGAGCCAGGTCTGATTCCAAATCCCACCTTCTCAAGCACGGCGCCTCCTGCTGTCGCAGTGCAAGGCAGACATGCATCCATGCTGGCTAAAGTTCAAGATTCAGCAAGGAGGAGACAGGCTTAGAGCACACAGGCCTCTAGCCCACGGTCAGTTCCTGGGACCCGGACTTGCGGCCCAGCAACACGGGTTGCACGGCCAGTTCTTTATGCCTGTGGCTGGGAAGAAAGGGCAGGAAGGCTTCTGTTTCTCAGCTGGACTGTCAGCTTGACTTGGGTCTGTATGGAATCTTCAGATTTCCCCAAGAGTGAAGGCTTGACAAAGCTAAGCCTTTTTTTTCTCTTTTGGCTTTTTTCTCTTTGGCTTAGAGTAAGTGAGGTGTAAAGCAAACCAGGAAGAGTGAATAGCAGCTCCGTCATTATTTATCTATTGATCTGCCCGTCCATTCATCATCAGTTCATTCAGCAGATATTTACGAGTGTCTAGGATCACCATGGAACTAGGATAGAGATCTCTGGCCTCGTGGGCAGTTTAAAGGGGGAAATAGGTAAGGAATCCAGTGATTATACTGCAGCGTGAAAGATGCTATTGTGTGAGGAGTACAGGGAAACTTAGGAAGAGTATCTAACCCAGTTTGAGGTAGTTAAGGAGGTTTCTTAGATGAAGTTCTGTACACACTGAGACCTGAAAGATGAGTAAGAGTTGATCTTTGAAGGGACTAGGGACAGTACTGATGGTTGAAACCAACTGAGCTCTCAGGAAACATTGGTGAATGAATGAATGCATAAATTAATGAATGAACCAACATACTATATTTCATAGCAAAAGTGCATGTTCAAGTGCAAACAAAAGTAGGGTTTTGAGGAGGGGAAATGTAGTGATCTGGGTTGTCAATCACTTTGGTTCTTAAATCTACTTCATTCTTTTTAATGGCTGTATAGTATTCCATAGTAGGAATAGTTATACTCCTAATGCTGGGCAATAGGTGTTTCACACATTTTTCTATTACAAACAAATGCTTCAGTGAGCACTCTTGTATTAACCTCCTTGTGGGCACATGTGAGCATCTCTCCAGGCTGATACTGAGAGATAGAACTGCTGGGTTATAAACTATGGGCCTTTTTCCTTTCAGTGGATACCTAGCCTGTGGCATCCTGAGAGAGTGAACTAGCTCACATCCCAACAGCAGTGGCTGGTGGGTCCCATGTTCTACGTTGCCACTACTACTTGACAAAATGAAGTGCTTTGTCTTTGGCCATTTGGCAGGTAAAACAGGACTTCTCTTTGATGTTCTTATGATTGAACATCTTGAGTGAGTGTCTTTCAGTTATTTACCAGCTATTCACATTTTCTCTTCTGCAACTTGCTAATGATATCTTTCACTTATGGTTGGTTGTTAATCTCCTGATGCCCCAGTTTTGCCATTTGTTAAGTTGGGATTTTAATGTCCACCT